ACATCACAATTTTCCTCAAATGATAACTTCGTCATCCCTCAGCCAGATCGCCCAGCTTGAGAAGTGGATACATTCCCTGTACCTTCTGCTCACGTACCATAGTACAATCATCACAGTACACACGCATACAAACACAACAAAGTACAATTATCACAGTACACACTCATACAAACACAACAAAATGCAAGGGTGAGCTTATATAATTGATAACCTTATTAATGAAATATGAATAAATATAGATAAAATTATTTAAATAGCTCATATCAGTCAACACACAGCATTACACAACTTCAATACAATAATGCAACATGTCCAGCCCATTCCCAGTCCATCTAATGCAAATGCAGCGATTTAGTTTCTATTTGGTTTCACAGCCTAAGTAATCCAGAGGAACTGTTCCGGTCTAGGAGTGACTCATTCCGGTATTTGAATCCAGACACAGCACAACTTAGCATCCTAATCAGCTCTAAAATGATGATAATGAATAGGATGCAACACAGCTAAATCAGCATATTACAGCACAACAAAATATTTTTTTTCAGCCTCAGCAATACAGTAATAAATACATTTTTATCTAGTATTAACAGCTCAGCTATATACATATTTTAACAGCCATATCAAGCATTTTAGTGCATAATACCCAATAAAACTAAATGGCTCAAAATATTAACTAAATATTCCAGCACATATTAACACTCTCGGCTCATATATCACTGCATTCCAGCATGTTATATTCTAGCACAATTTTTTAAACAATCATCATACAATAGTGGAATCTACTTAACTATCCAAACTCTGAATTTTAGCCCAAAGTTGACTCCTACAGTCCATTATTCTCAAGTAGAATGAAATCTTTTATATAAACATCTCAGCCTCTACTAAATGAATTAGATCACATTAGGTAAGCTCCCCTTTTCTGGAATGAGTTCCAAAATAGTGCTCCTAGTGAGTTCTGTAAAGGAAGATCAACCGTTTAGGTATGGAATACGACTTGATCGGTTCAGATCTACTCAAAACAACCCGATTTAAGTCCCTTGAGAAAGAGAGAGAAGAAACAAGGTAAAATTGAGAATTGCGTTTTAAGAACTCACCTAGATCTCAATGAGATAGAAGATTTTGCTTTGATCAGGAAGGAATTCAACTTCGAGAAGGTTTTTTCTAAGAGTAATAAGAGAGAGAGCAGAGAGAAAGTGAGAGAGAGAGAGAGAGAGAAGTTGTTTGGTGAGAAAATGAAGTTTCTGGACGCTGAGGCCTTTTAAATACCCCTCTAGCCCATGCGCTCTTACTTAAGCGAGCTACTTCTCGGCTAAGTGAGCTATGCTCTCACTTGGGCAAGCCAACCTTCGCCTGGGCTAGAAAACCAAACAGTGGAACCTCTCACATTTTGATATTCTCGTTTGAGCGAGCAATACGTCGCTTGAGCGAGATACATCTCGCCGGAGCAAGCAACATTCTTGCTTGGGCGAGATTGCGTCTAGAGAGCTACCTATTATTCTTGCGACATCTCACTTGAGCGAGCACCTCTTGCCTGAGCGAGGTCATCTCTCGCTTGAGCGAGGTTACAGCTGAGACAATCATATCGGATCTCACTTGAGTGAGGTACCCTGCACCCAGACTTTGAAATTTCTCTTTCGAGTGAAATATTACCAAATCTTAATCATTTTTTTAATTATCTAAACACTTAACACATTTAACAATCACTATTCAACTTACATTGCACTTTGCATTCAATCAATATCATCGTTCAGCATAATAATCGCATTACTCCTTATTCGACAATTACGTAACCTTTATATTCCAACACATAACCAATTCATATAGTTCAAGTTTAAACAATTATAATCAATCAGCATAATAATAATACATATAATCACACTAACTTGACAAAGGTTCCTTAAATACCCTTCCAAATCTGTATGTTTTCGCTTGACCGAGCCAACTCTCGCGACGAGCTCTATTCTCGCTTGGGCAAAAAAATCAAATAATGGAACTAGTCAGTTTTCTGCTATTCAATCAATATCATCGTTCAGCATAATAATCGCATTACTCCTTATTCGACAATTACGTAACCTTTATATTCCAACACATAACCAATTCATATAGTTCAAGTTTAAACAATTATAATCAATCAGCATAATAATAATACATATAATCACACTAACTTGACAAAGGTTCCTTAAATACCCTTCCAAATCTGTATGTTTTCGCTTGACCGAGCCAACTCTCGCGACGAGCTCTATTCTCGCTTGGGCAAAAAAATCAAATAATGGAACTAGTCAGTTTTCTGCTATTCTAGCTTGAGCGATAGGCACCTCACCTCAGCAAGCAGGATCTTGCTTGAGCGAGAAGCATTCTTACTTGGGCGAGAATGGGTTCAGAGAGTTTTCCATTTTTACTGAGCGAGCTTATCTCGCCTAAGTGAGGTCACTTCTCGCCTGAGCGAAATCCCTTCTCACCTTTGGCACATTGTATTAAGCAGGGTGGTGCGAAATTGATTGGTAATACAATAAATATGGATGTTGTATGATAGCTGAGGTATGTTGAAATTGGTAGATTTACATTATTGAGGGAAAATGTTTGAATGTTCTTGGATGAAGAAATAGTATTATGTAGAGAAATGAATAATGTAACATGATCGTGGAATTATGAGATGTGTGATTATAATACGTGAGTCATAACTAATTGATAGGTGTGATTATGATGCAAGTATTGTAATTCATTGAAGCGTGTACATACATGTATTGCAATATATGGATTTACATTAATCATAACTCACGTATTATGACATGCTGATATATAAAAAGAATGTGAAAATGAAATGAGAAATGTTGAGAAAGAGAATAATATGAGAAATAATGAGAATAAATATAGATAGTCATAGAGATACACTAGGAGTATGGAAGATGGGGATGATTTTGAAAATCTGAGAGAAATGAGAGTGATTGATGCTTTTCTTTAAATGTGAAAAAAATATCATAGGCCTCAGGTTCATTTCTTGACCTAAATCTTTGATCATAATTTTGCTAAAAGGAATCAGGTTGGCACATGTTGTATTTGTGTGCAACGACTAACCAATAACTATCTATGCTATTAAGTCCTCAAGAGATTTTAGGGGCAATGATTATGAAAGCATGATGAATGTAAAGTAGTATAAAAATTGTGTGATTATAATATATACATTGTAACATATCAATTGATGTTGTTATGATAAATGTGTTATAATTATATCGACGGGTGTGATTCATGTATTGTAACATATTGATTGATATGATAGAATAAATGTATTATGACATACAAATTAGTGTAGAAATGTATGTTATAAATAGTGCAAAGGCTATTGATTTATTGTATGTGCTCTGTTGTAATAATGACTTGTCTGATTTGAGTGTTGTTGTTAATCAATGTATGTTAGAAATGTGTTAGACAATATTTTCAGTATTACATAATTATTCTATCAAATAAGAGATTTAGTAGGGTGGAAAATACTCACCCTTACTAGTTATTTTTAGGAGATAAAATCGAAGAGAATAAAAAGAAGATTGGTCCATTCTAAAATTATAGTTCAGTGATATTGAGAGCAAAGACTGCTATGTAGAATTTAAATAATTTAAAATTATAATATTTTAATAAGCTTCTAGTTTAATTTGACAAAGTTATGTAATTGTTGTAAACATCGAATTTTGAATTTACAATACTTTAATAAGTTTAGTTGTAAATATTATTTTGAAGTTTGTATGTAATATTGATAGTAAGTGATTTTAATTGAAGTTTATATTTATTTTAAATAAAAATTTACTCTGTCAAAAGGCCGTGTTGTTTATATTTCAAATTTATATGTACTTATCGTGGACTAAGTAAATTCTTTAAAAGAAAATTTTAGTTGCATTTCCTTTACAAATTTAAAATTTTATAAATGTTAATTTTGAATACCTTCAAGATTTTATAAAACTGAATACTAGAAAATGAAAGTTTGACTTTTTCTTAATTCTTTGAGCAGTAAAAATAAAAGTGTTTACCTTAATTGTTTTTCTTTAATATAATTTATGTTACAATTAGAAATATAAATTAAGAATTTTACATAAATTATTTTTAACTTATGAAAGAAATTTTAATTTTTTTAATAAAAATTTCTTTAAAAGTTCACCCAAATAAGACTTAAGATATCTCATATTAAATAAGATTTATGAGGTAGAACTAAAGCTAGACTTTAGAAGCAAGTTAGGACTGGTTTTTTAATATGATGTTAGAGATTATCTAGCTTGAATAATTGATCACAGTTATAAATATTTAGTCTTACAAATTTCATATACCAAAGATTCATGCACTAGACGATGACCCTTATTCTTCGAACTGACTTTCAGGAGTGAGTTAAGTGTAAAATAAAAAAAAAATTCTATTTACATAATTTTTAATATTTTTTATAAGGTGCTAAAAGTTTTAAATTTCTATGTAATTTTGTTTGAAACCTTATGCAAATAGGATATAAAATAATTTATTACTATCAATTTTAAGAACAATTATTTTTCAAATTTTAAAAACCAAAATGTAGTATCATAATATTTTAATGTTTTATTTTAAATAAAAATATAAAATTTATATTAAAATTTGTGTAAAAAATCTTTATAGATAAACTTTGATTTTATTTTATTTATTTCTTCATTTTAAATAATAAATTCTTTAATTTGTATCAACATTATCTAAACTGGTCAATATGTTAGTTTTTAAAATATTAAATAAAATAAATTTTTATTAAAAATATGTTAACATTACCATATTTTTACTATAATTTTGAATATTCATTTCCTAGCAAACACTCTTAATAAACTAGTCCAAACAATCCTTACTTGGATTCTAAATAATAATAATAAAATAAAATCATAATCTAACTCTTATATTCTGGGGTGGTCCTATCGGGTAACGAATCTATGATCTCCACTCGTTAATGGATTTGATAGGAATAAGGACATTGCCAGTGTGTGGGGGAGAGAGAGAGAGAGAGAATGAGAAATGGTGGAGGAAGGAGGAAAAGAGTGGAACTGCGAGTGCCATTTCTTGTTTTGTGTGTATTGGGGAGTGGTTTGGGGCTGCTAATGCTTATGAGTAGGCCATTGGACGTTCGCACTAGCGTGGCATTCCCAAAGGCTTCAAAGAAAGGGTCAAATTTGGATTCTAAGCATCGTGTGGCCTCCAAGACTTGCGCCACCGTGGAAGAGATGGGCAAGCCTTTCAAAAGAGCTCTTGGTAAGGAGTCTCTCAGAGTCAGAAGGATCATTCATAATCATTTTATTGTCAACGGTACTTTTGGCCACCTTCGCTATCTACCCTCCTCTTTTTAAAACTAAACAATTCTTATATTTTCACTTCAAGATATAATATCAAATGCTTATTTTCTTTAAATAAATATTAACTCTTTCACTTGTTTTATTTTTTATTTTTGTTATTATTATTACTTTTTGTTTTATTTTAATTTATGTACTTCTAGAAATTTTAATTATTTTTCAATAATATCTTATTTATTATGAATAATTGTTTTGTCAATTAACTACTATATTAGCAGTGTTATTAAATTAAAAATAATTCTTATCAACTAATTACTCCAATAACTTTCATATTTTTAATAAAAATATTTTGGCAAAATTAATTTATTTTTTCATAATAATGGGCGAAACTATTTTTTTTAAGATGCATTTATTAGATTGATCATAGTAATGCCTCTGCTGTCTCATATTAGATGGTATTTCACATTTAAAAAAAATAGTTTGATCGATTATTATGATAAAATAAATAAAATATTAAAATGTCTATATTAAAAATGTTAAAATTATTGTAATAGTTAATTGATAAAAAAGTAATTTTAAAGCAATCAATACTTTAATAGTCTTATTATAATTTTTAGTTGGTAAAACTCATCTTTAATAAATAATATATTATTAACAATAATTAATATTTTATAGAAAATACTTCGATCTTTTTAAAATAACATATAATAGAAGACCCAAGGAGTACAAAATATATTTATTACGTTCAAAACATTTTATATTTTAGCCCCTCAAGTGTGTAACTGCTGCATACGGTTGGAAAATTATTACTATTGTTATTTTGTTTTAATACGTGGGATCAAATTTGTGTATGACGATGCTTGCCTAGTGGTTTTGTGTTTTTCTCTTGGCAGTTGAGACCCATATTTAAATTTTGTTATGTGCCACTTCCAAATAAATATAGCAAGTTATTTTAAGATTGAGTGCTTGTATGATCATAGTCTTGTGCAATTTTATTCTTTATTAAGTGCCTTTGATTTTGTATCAGGTGCTTCAAGAGTAAGGGATTTGCCCCCAGAGCAGTTCTGTAGTCATGGCTTTGTTCTGGGGAAGACAGCTGAAGCAGGGTTTGGGAATGAAATGTACAAGGTCTTAACTGCTGCAGCACTTAGTGTAATGTTGAACCGATCCTTGATCATTGGCAAAACCAGGCATGTTTCTTCTTTCTCAATCCTTTCTTAGTAGCCAAATTGATGAATTTGTGAAACTGTTCTGATCTTACAACATATAGCACAATCAAATCAGAGGAAAGTATCCTTTTGGAGACTACATTTCTTATTCCAACTTTACCTTTACGATGGAAGAAATCAAGCATTTGTGGAGACATAAAAGATGTGAAAGCAAATACGGGAAGAAACTAGTTATGAGGATTGATGATTTTATGAAACCAATTGAAACAAACGTTCTCTGTAGCAATTGGAAGAAATGGAAGCAACCTATCATATGGTAAGGTGATAATGGTCTTGTAAATGATGAGTCTTACACGCATCATAAAATGAGCTCATAAACTTGATGATTTAGGTTTCAAGGAACTACTGATTCCATGGCGGCACAATTTTTCTTGAAGAATATACACTCTGAGATGAGGATTGTTGCTCTTGATTTATTTGGTGACCCCAAAGTTCCAGAATTAAGGCCAAATGTTTTTGGGGAGCTCATGAGAGTTCTCATATCCCCTTCACAGGATGTTGAAGCAGCTGTCAATTGGGTTATTGGTGCTGGGGAGAATCCTCACTTCTCATTGCATATGCGAATGCTTATGAATGATAGGTAATGCAACTATGCTTGAATTTTATCTAATAAGTTTATTGCAATTTTATTTTTAATAAATATGGGTTAATACGGAATAAATAAGCTCACTAATTAATTTAAATTTTCTGTTTATTTAAACTTAAACGTGCGTAACTGGTTACTGTGAATTAATATGTCTATAGGTTTTTACTAAAATGTCATCATGGGATTTGAAAAGTAAATTATTAAAAAAAAAATCTAACCTTTTAGTTACACAAAATCATGATCTTATTTAAATTATTTTTATTTATATTTCATATTAAAGTCTAGATTATATGATTTAGAACCTAATCATTACTAATTATTATTAATATTGAGTTCTTTAAAGTTCTCTCTTTTGATATTTTTTTGGTAATTCTAGATTGAAATAAATTAAATTTTTTTTTGTTATAAAACTTGTAACTGATTTTATTAAAACTTAAATTTTCCCAGGATATAATAATTTAAAAACAACTGGACCTATGGTTAATATCTTGAGCCAGATAACAGATAAATTTTATGAGCATGTACGGTGATGTTCCAACCATATCCTACATTGGCTACAGTATGTATATTTGCCTGATTTTTGTGATATTTGTTTTTATTCTGCTACTGTAAATTTATTATTAATTTAAATTTATTTTATATTTAAAATTAGAATTATCTAAAATTAATAGTAGTGTTAATTCTTTTTGGATATTATTGCAAAATTATATATATTTTTATGCTTAAATTATATTTCTATTTTGTAAAATTATATGCTTTTAATTAAACTATTTAAGTATAAAACTTGTAATGAATTACTACATCATAATTTTGGTGAGAAAGAAAATAAATTTTTATTTAGAAGTTATGAATAATTTATATTTCTTTATTTTTTGAGAAGTATTTTTGTTTAATTTTTCTAAAATTTGAAATGATAAATTGTTTCTAACTTATCAACGAAGTTATATATATTTTTATATTTTTTTTTTCCTGTAAGTGCTTCTTTAAGATGTTATCCAAATACAACCGAATACTACAAAAATGGAATTACTCATTCTAGTTTGTAGAAGTTTCTATCTAGCTTGAGGAATATTTTTTATTATTATATATAATTTTCTACCTAAAGGTGTGTTGTAATTAAAAGTTGATTTATAAATGTCACTATTAAAAGTACATTGGTTTAAGAGATCTATTTGCTTAAAATAGTTAAATTTTTATGTATAGTATAAATTTATTAAGTAGTTTATGTTTGAAATTTTTTGACGTAGTTGTTGTAGTGTATTGATCTAAGAGATCTATCTAATTAAAGGGGATGAATTTTTTTAAGCCAATATATCATTACTAACAACACATTTTAAATTTATGGATAAAGTTGTATTGAAGGTGCATTAGTTTAAGGGATTTATCTATCCAAATACATAGATTTTTTTAACCTAATATGTGCTTACTTATTTAACCTAAGTTGCAATCTTGATATGAGAGGAACATGTAATTATGTTAGTCTCGTTATGATAGTTTATATTGGTTGAAGTTATGTCTTACCTTGATTATGTATTTTAATTTATTCTTAACTTTTTTTTTAATAGTGAGTTTTTTCATAAAAAAAAAGTATTATATTTTAATTAAGATTTTGAATTAATCAAACTATAATAATGAAAAATACATATTTTTTTTAGGAATTAAAGACTGACGTGACTCTATGTGAAAATAAGTTGAGACTATTATTGAAAGTATAAGACAAATAGAGTGTCAATTAAGTAAGAAAGGTCAAATTGACTTAATATGATTGCTATTAAAATAATCATCTCTAAACATATGTGTAGTGGATTGCTCAATGCATTTGAGTAACTCGGCATTGGAATGTCCAACTATTTGTTAAAACTCTGTTCTTTTGCAAATAAGCGTTAGAACGTCCAATTTAACTGTTGAAAAGCTCAACATTTTGTCCAACTTTTGTAATTTATTGGTTTCTTAAGGCATTCTCCATTCCAATTTGTGTCATAAAGAATAAAAAAAGCACAAATTAACTTAATTTATAATAAATTACTTAAAATTAATAATTATTTAATAATTTAAATAAAATTTATACAATGTTCTAATTTATAATTTGTAAACAATATTTTAATAAAATTTAAGTAAACTAATCTAAATAATATATTAAATTAAAATAGTTAAATATTAGCTTAACTCTAACTTCATCAAATTGTCTTCATAATTAGAATTTTGGATAGAAACCAATATAATCTTGGAAGTGATTATATAATTGTTGTTGAGAAAATAATAAAATACTTATAAAAAAAACTAAAGAATATATGATTGTATGTGAGAAATTAAGTTAATAACTTGGAGAGAATATAGTATTTTGACTCAGATCTTATTAACAACTTTTATTTACATTTTCATGTTAAATGGAAGTAAAATATATTTAAGAAATTAAGAAATTAACTTTTATTACCTCTTTTGTATTTGTTGCTTACTATGTTATTTTCCTCATTTATTTAATTGAAAAACTTAGGACTTTGTATTATGGATACAACATTATTGTGTTTTACTAAAAAAGAATAAAACTACTAATGGTTGTAATCACCTAGAAGTATTTGAGTGTTGAAAATCTCAATTTTGAATAAATTTAACATAATTGTTGAGTATATTAATACAATTTTTATGGTAACTAATTACATAGTCAAGCTTATGTGTGTGTATACTTGTATATTTGTATATTTTTAGTTGTTAAATTTAAAACTAAGCATGGTTAGAGTCACCATTCATATGATTGCTATTATATTGGAGTTTAGGCAAAATTGTACTTTATAGATGTTATTGAGACTCCTATGTTAGTGATTAATGCTATATTGGAGTTGAGGTATGATAGTTTTAAACGACCATATAATTTCTCTAACTTAAAGGCATTTGAGAGAAATCATAAATTGATAAAGAAAATAATAGTTTGACTTTTAAATTATATTGACACATTAATTTCTTATTACACTTGACACAAATTTATCATTTTATTAATTAAATATTTATTCATAGATGTGTGTGTAGCACCTCAACATTTTTTGTATTTAGGATAGAAATAAGACTTCCTAATCTTCAAATAGAATATAGATTTAAATGACTAATTATATTTTTGGTATCCCATATTCTAGGTCTATAGGAGCTATACAAGCAGCATTGCGTTGCCTAAGAAAAGTCATACAAAGTCAACCTCTAATGTCATCAAGACCAAAGGTAGTTTTGGTATCAGATACACCTGCTCTTGTTAAAAGGATCAAGTCTAACATAAGTGAATTTGCAGAGGTAATTTTAAGTCATAATTACTAAATTGTATGCAAAATTGACTTATTAATGTCCAGATGACAACATATATTACTATCAATACAACAACAATAAAGTCTTATTTCAATAAAGCTTTATTTCACTAAATAATGCATCACATAACACAAATAACTTTTTTTTTATGACTCCACATCCACTTAACATATTTAATTTTATTACTTCTACTATTTTTTTCATAAAGTATTTTAAAGTCTAACTTTCACTAACTTAGAGGATAGTTGATCGTACTATAATTTGATAATTTTTTTAAAAAAATTAATAAGTACTTTACAATTACAATTATCTATTCAAACCTTTGTTTATTTTTTATACCCAATTTGTATTCCAGGTATAATATCTTTCTTAATTTTTTATATTATTATGTGTACTAAATCTCGATTACGTAAACTTTAAAATTTATAGTATTATATCTTTTTTCTAATTTAACTTCTAAATTATTTTTATTTTATTTTTAATTAAAATTGCAATACACATATTTTCTCTTTTCTACTCAAGAAAAAACTCTTACGTTCAAAAGTCTATGTTCAAAGTTTAGAGTGTGAATAATCATATTTAAGTCTAAGTTAAATAAGTAAGATTAGAAAATTCCTGGTATAGACTTATTTTTATAAAACAATCTCTAGTTACACCTCTCAAAATTTTCACACTTTTAATTACTAAATTATGCAATTAACTTTTCTTTATACATCATCCGCATCACATGTGATTGTTAAAAAAAAAAAAAACCTTATAAGAACTGGCAACAAGCTATTTTCAATATTGCCAATCTTTTAATTAAATGCTTTATTTCTTCGTTATCTAATATGTTGCTTACTTTTCCAATGTGAGGTGCGATGAAACTAATCAATAAATGCAAAAAAAATTGGCACCTGTGGGTCTTACTCTTATATTTTTTTTTTCTTCTTCGCAGGTTCTTCATTTTGATTATGAGAAATTCAGGGGAAGTATATTTAAAAGTTTACCAACTTCAGATTTTAGAAAGAAGGATTGGGGTGTAGCTCCAAGATGGGTTGCTTTTGTAGACTTTTTTTTAGCATCTCGTGCGAGACATGGTGCCATTTCTGGTGCTCATCGGCGTGTTGGGACTACCTATGCCCAATTAATTGCTGCACTTGCTGCAGCATACAATCTAGGTATTTCTCTAACTGCATAAACCTAACAATTAAAAGATTATGCTGATGAGAAATGCAAATTAAATTGTTACTACAGGGGACAAGTGGTCTAGTTCAAGGTTCATATTCTTGAGTAGTTTTCAAAGTAGTTTGTTGAGTAATGGCCTAAAGAATCAAAATGGGTGGGGGCATGTGTGGAGCAGATACGCGGGTCCACAGAGTTGTCATAATCAGGGGAGCCAATGTGCCTTCACACCGATTCTCCCTTTTGCTTGGTGGGACGCCCTCTGGCAATCTCCACTTCCGAGGGATATTCATCGTCTCGCTTCCTATGGGGTCCCATTATCTTCTCTCGGCGCCGTTGATAACAGTTTCCTTCAAAATCACTGTAAGAAAAGGAAATATCTCGTAAGAACCATCAAATTCAATTTGTAATTCAACAAAGTCTATGTAATGGTGCTTAAACAACTTTATCAAGTAAGTCCCACGAAAAATTATCTATGAAACATTTGAAAATATTTTCTTTGTCTAATGAAATCCAATCAGTTACCATTAAATTATAAAAAATTTATTAAAATATAAAGATGACAAAAATAATGACAAGGTTTTGTTTTAGATTGAAATAGATACCAAATTTAGAGTTTTTTTTTTTCTCTTTTCAGTTTGATGTTATATTATAAAAATCATGAGTAACTATTTTTATCTTCTTACTGTGTTTAAATTTAACTATGCAGTTCTTTATGTTTTTATTACATATACATGTTTAAAATTTTATTGTTTTATTTAAAAGAGGTACCAAAATTCTTTAAAATATACATAAAGACAAATAATTTTAAAAATTTGTTTTATCATAATTGTGATTTTTATAATTAATTTTTAAACTAAAAATAATACCATCAATCAACTTCTATATTATTTAGGAAGTAAAACATTTAATAAAATTACTTTCTTCTACCGTTAGTCAAATCTTTTTTAAAATTAAAATTTATTACATTTACTCATTACAATTAATTTACTTTTTAATCACTTTTTTTATTAATTCATTTAAAATTTTAGACATAAAATTGTTACTTAAATTTTTCCTATTAACTTATACAAGCTTTCATATTTTTTTAAATACATATATTTACTTTATAATTTTTTTATTATCTTATATAAACTTTCATTAAAAAATGTTTACATTTGTAAAATTTTCTTATAACTTAAATTTTCTTTTTAGAGATGCCTCTGTTTATATTTATAATATTTAATTTTTTATTTGCAATACTTTTAGTCAAAATTTTGAGTTGTTCCACAATTTCCCCTCGTCCTTATAAAGCAAAATTTTGAGTTGCTGCACATATTTCGTTTTGTAAGAAAAATATCTTTTCTCTCTTAAAAAATGTAGTCTTCGGCACTTCCATTAACTTTTCTCAAAATTTGCATAGTTATAAAGACTATCTCACACAGTACTTTTTTTAATTATAATAAATTTGATTTTAAAATGTCTTTTACTTTTCTCTTTCTAACATATGATTATATATATATATATATAGCCAGACCAATACAGATGAATGAAGAACTCCTGACTGGAACTATTAACTATAGTACCGGTTTCTAAAGATCATGGATGTCAATACCGAAACAATCATCTTCATTTTGATTTTCTTCAATATTGGCATCTTGGTTAGAAGATTCTCCTTCTTCTTGGCTTTGCAATAGCAGGAGAACATCTTGAAGATTTTTCTTCATTTTTTCTTTGGTATCGCATCCTGATAAGAATGCTGCAATTTTGGATTTCTGATTAAGGAATTGAAATGTTGCTGGGTCTGCTAGATTTAATAATTTGGGATTTTTCCCAAAATATTCAGCAACTCCTTCTGGTCCGGCATGTTCCGCATTGAATTGATTCCACCATTTTACAAAGGAATACCTGTGCAACAAAGGGAGAGTGTCTTCATTTTCTGTCTTGCCATATCTGTATTGCCATGAGAATACCCATGTTAGGGCAAAGTCAGAGAAGTATTTAAGATCTGCTAGAATTCTTGATTCTCGTAGATATCTGCCTTTGTAAATTTTGTATCCTTCTTTGACAGGTGTGGGAAGGATTTCTTCAATTGGCCCAAAATAATCCCACCATTGGAGGAACCAATTTGGAAAGGTTTTGGTTTGTTTAGAGTCAGGGCTAACCTGACTTTGCCGCCTCTGGTGGTACCTCCCCTGGAAGGGGTGATTGTCTTTCTAGGCATTTTACTTGTCCTGTAAATATTCACGAGTAAGGTAATCAGGAAGGGAGTTTGAAGTGCCTTTGAGATACTCAATGTCAAAATCAAAAACACTTAAAATTGTTTGCCATCTCGCAAAAATTTGTTTTGAGGCAAGATTTTTAACATCCTTTTGTAAGATTTCTTTGGCAGACTTACAGTCTACTCTAATTAAAAATTTTTGATTTAATAAATCAGATTAAAATTTTGAAACGCATAAAACAATTGCCAAAACTTCCTTTTTAACAATAGAATAATTCTGTTGTGCAGAATTCCAATGTTTTGAAGTGTATGCAATGATATGCTCATGAGACTCGATTTTTTGTTTAAGGATACCTCCATAGCCTATGTCTGAGGCATCAGTTTCAACGATTTTGAAGGCTTGAGGGATGGGAAGATATAGGCAATTTATCTTCCTAACTTTGTTTTTGATTTCTTTGACAACATTAGTATGGACATCAGTCCAAGAGGGAGGATTCTTCCTAAGCCTATCATGTAAGGGCTTGATGATGTTATTTAGGTGGGGGATGAAATCCCCTACGTAATTGAGACATCCCAAAAATCTTTGTAATTGGGTTTTGTCAAGAATTCTGTCAGGAAATTTATCAGCAAAATCAATGGACCTACTGATAGGGATAATGGTACCTTGGTGGATATTATGTCCAAGGAATCTGATATTGGTTTGAAAAAGACTAATTTTTTATTTTGAAACGGCAAGACCGTTTTGTTTAATAACATTGATAAAAACATTTATATGTTTAAAATGCTGATCAATGGATTGAGAAAAAATTAAAACATCGTCAATGTAGACAATGACAAATTTTGAATAAGGATTAAAAATGTCATTCATGATTTTTTGAAATTCAGAAGGAGCATTTTTTAGACCAAAGGGCATAACATTCCTTTCGTAATGCCCAAAGGGAATAGTGAAGGCAGTTTTGTACCTATCATTTTCGCAAATTTGGATTTGCCAAAACCCAGATTTCATGTCGAATTTTGAAAAGATCTTAGCAGAATTAAGTCTGTTAAGAAGATCTTTTTTATTGGGGATAGGATGCCTAATCCATTGAAGGGCTTGATTGAGGGGTTTGTAATTGATGACAAGTCTGAGAGTACCTCTCTCAATCTCAGCAGGTTTATTAACATAAAAAGCGGAGTAAGACCAAGGACTCTTGCTTTTCTTAATAAGATTTTTGTCTAAGAGATCTGTAATCTCTTTCTGACAATAATGAAGGAGTTCTTCATTCATCTGTATTGGTCTGGCTTTGGTAGGAATCTGGCTATCCTTAAAACCTGACTCATAAGGAAGATTGACAATATGTTTTTTTCTATTCCAGAAGGCACTGGGTAGGTCAGAACATATAGAAGTTTGGATGTTTCTTAAAAGGGATTGAATTTTCTTCTGGAGAGAAGGACATTGTAATTGTTTTTTAATGTTGGCAAAAGAAATTTCTTCTTTTAGAAAATTAATTTGATTGATTTTGTTTTGAATAGAATTAACATTTTTTGTAAATGGTTTGTTAGAAAATTTGAAAGTTATCTGTTTTCCTAAATGACGAGTGGAAATTCCATCTTTCGAAATTTGTAGAGGGAAGAGGGCCTTTATAAAAGGTGTTCCCAAAATAACTTCATTTTTTAAATTTTTTACAAGAAGAAAATTTGTCTCAATCTTAAGCCCTTGATTTTCAATCACGGCTTTAGAAAGAAAGAAAATTCAGATTCTATTTCGGATTCTCAAAAAAGAAAAGAATTTTTAAACAAATTTAAAGAGGTTTTAGAAAATAAACCTAAACCTAAAGAATATTTTACTTCAAACAAATTTGACATTACGGATATTTTCAAAAGATTAGAAAAGAATTCTAGTATTAAACCTACTACTATTCAAGATCTCCAGATTGAGATAAATAATCTCAAAAAAGAGATCAGAGAAATCAAAGATCAACAACAAATTCATCAAGTTATTCTTTCTCAGTTAGATGATGATTCTGACATTGAGAAAGAAGAACTTCCTGAAGATAATGATTCTGTAAAGGTTGATTCTGATAATCCAGAAGAAACCTTTATGTGTTTGATCAACAAGGTCAAAATACAAAAATTTTATATTAATATCAGAATCGTTATCAAAGATTTTGTTCTTGATACTTTGGCCCTCTTTGATACAGGTGCTGATTCAAACTGTATTTTAGAAGGATTAATTCCTACAAAATATTTTGAAAAAACCTCTGAAAAACTCAGCACTGCTAGTGGTTCAAAGCTGAAAATTAACTATATATATATATATATATATATATATATATAATATGTAAATGTAATGATATTTACATATTTTTAGTATGACAGTAGAACATAAAACCATGTCTAATCTTTATTAATGTGTTATATTTGATTAGTTTTAAGTAATCTTCTTTAGAAGTATCATATTAATATAAATAAATTAAAATTAAATTATATATATATATATATATATATATATATATATATATAGTTAGGAATTAAAACACACTTAGTTAAATTTATCTAAAAAATAGACGAATTAAAGAAAAATCGAGTAACGAATTATAGTGTAATCTAATTTTAAAATGAATAATTAACTAAAAATTTTGTTTTTATAATTTTATATCATCTTAATTATGTATTACAAAATTTATAATCAATTGGGAGAATAAAAATAGAAAATTAAAAATAAGTTACATTGGCCAAAAAGACCAAAATACCTCTAGAATAGGCCTAAAATGAAGACCCAAGTTGGATAAGGAAATGATAATAAAAAATTCTAAAATTTATGGCAAATTTTTGGGCCAAATGAGGTTGTATTCATTTAAGAATCAGATCCAAACTTCAAATAAAAAATTCAAACCAATTTTTACAAATTCAGCACTCAAAGTGGTGTGAAAAGGGCTAGGCAAATGGACCAAAACTTTCAATTTTGTAATCCTATCTTACCCAACCCAATTGGCACGATTTTGGCACAAAAAATAGACTAAATTTGTCAATAATTGAGCAAAGTATTAGCTGAAGTGAAGGAAGCCAATGAGAAAGAAGACTTGGTTTACTAAAATTCCTTAATGATGACATAGGGTCAATGGTTCAATCTCTAACCAAGGAACCTAGCCAAATGCCAACCAAACCCAACCAAAGTCAGTCAAATATAGTGTTATATGAGGGGAAAAATCTGAAATTAGAAACTAGGAA